GGGGATCTGAAAGCGCTCTAGACGGTGGCGGTAAGCGAATCTCTTGCTAATTAGTGCATAGCATAGGCATCCGCAGTCTATAAGCGCGACAGCGTTTGCTACGTTGTTCACGATAAGATCTACGGTGATTGGTGGGGGACGCATATGCTTCTGCTGAAACTGATTCCATTCGCTACGTGTCTGCCGATCCATCTTCAGAGGCTCTGGGCCGAGACTCTGGCCCAGAGCTACTCTTTTTCCGAGTCGCTATCGTCTGGGCATTCGATCTGTTTCTGGCGTCTCTGCCCTTCGCTTGGGGGAACGGCTCTCTTAACCTAAGTGGTGTTTAGACAGTTTCTAGCGATGTGGCCTAGTTCGCCGCAGCTGTAGTAGTCTAGTGGGGACCGCCTTAGTCTATCCTTCGTTTCCCGTGCCCGATTGGCCTTCGAGGGCTCCCAGTCCATCGCTTCTGGACTAGCATCTCGCTAAGCGACCTTTGGGGGAGCTTGCGCATGACTGTAGGCCGCGTTCCTTCGATTCCTCCTGTGCAACTGGATCCGGTATAGGTCATTGGAAAGCTCGATTGCCTTGTCTATATATTCCTTTAGACTTCCGTTCTTTAGAGTATAGAGCATTAGCTTTTAGAGCTCTTCTCTAAGTCCCTTACTAAACATCTCACAAGCTACTGCTAGGCTAAACTGCTGTCAGGACTCTACGCGAAGCTGGTTGAACTCCAAGACATAGTCGCGTATTGGTCGTCGTCCTTGCTTTAAGTGCTAAAGCTTATTTAGCGCACGCTGCTGCTAGTGCACGTCTTAGAAGTAAGTATCCATATGCTCCCATAGGCCGGCCGTAGTTCGTTCCTTATTCTCAAGCACCCAGAGAAGAAGGACCTGGTTTGCTTTGCCCTTCGTTCGACTGAGCACGTATTGGACCTTTGCGTCCTCTGTTAGGAACATAGCATAGTCGTACTCTAGCTTCCCTTCGCACTCAAATTTCTAACCTAGGTAGTTATCACGTGTCCCATTAAAACGCTCTAGGTCGGGAAACTTATTCTTGCGGGCTGCTGGCTCGGCGACTGTTGTTAGCGGTGGTGGAGGAGTGTCGACTCTTGGGGATGACTCCGAACGTCCTTCGGCTTGGTTCCTCTCAAGTGCCTCTAGGCGACTAGCCATTAGGCTAAGCAGCTGCATCATCTGCTCCATTACTTGGGCCACGGCGTTCTGATTAGCTTTTGGTGAGCCCTCCTGCCTTGGTGAGCCCTTCCCCCCTACGACTGATGATCGCTTAACGACTGCTTCGATCGTTGGCCCAATCGCTGCTTCCTTCCATCCGTCCTCTCTCAGCATCTGCGTAATCTCACGCAGGATCTCTTCGTCCGGGACTCCTGCCTGGCTCTTAGTGGTGGCGTAAGCCGCTAGCTCTTCAACGTTCAAGTTAGGAGCGTTGGCCTCCATTGTCTAATTCGTCTTCAGACGTCTCTTGTCTTTGCCTGCTGGTGTGCAGGGCTTCCGATCGTCCTTCGATCCGCTCGCGCAGTCCTTGACTGCGGCCTACTCCTCGTTAGTGAGGACTAGTAGGGCTTACCTTCGGCCGTACTTCTCTTCTAGCTGGTTCTAAACAGCGTTTAGCTGCTGTCGTGTCGCGTCCCTAGGAAGACTCGCGTCTTGCCGTCTCGCTCGTGGGATCTCGTCTCTAATTAAGAGTAATCGCACGGCCTGCACCCCGTCCGATAGAGGATTGACAGGACTTCTCACTACAACGTCCGCTTCTAGCTAACTGTACGCTAGGCCCGAGTGGCCTTTAGGTAGTTTATCACGCGACGTTGCGCCTACGGCTCGGCTTTCCAAGACACGGTAGGACTTCCTAGACAGGTCCTGGGCGACTAAATCGCCTACTGTCTCTCACGGCTGAACTTCCTGCGAAGCTCTGCCCTAGGTGTACTGTCTTACGACGGTCTACCTTCTCGCTGCACTAAAGGCCTTTCGTACCTATTGCAGCACTAACTCTGTGTTACTAGCTCGCACTAACAACACGCTCTAAAACTTAGTTAGAAGATAGTCTGCCTAAGGCTTATGTCTAATTAGGATTAAATACAAAATGTAAGGGGCTGCGCTCTAGGGAGCAATCGCGAGGTATACAAGAGGTTGTATTTAATAGAGAGCTATAGAGTCTACTTGCGTGGTGTTTATTTACTTGTTAGAGAAAGGTTGCACCGAGTGTCTGAGCGCGTCGTCTGGGCGCCGCTCAGGCCTCGCACAGATGCCGGGTTGCAGAGTAAGACCTGGCGTCTGCTGCTTGACCGAGATTCCATCGAGGAGCTATCCAAAGGGCGTTCAGCCCGTTACAGTGGGCCACCTCCCCAAACTATTACATCTTTGTAATAGTATTGCGCAACACCACTATAATATTTTTTATTAAGTAGAATAAGATATTATTCTTTAGACGTATTGTTATCCTCTATATCCTCTAATTCTACTTAACAAGTGCGAGAGTTGTGTCTAATTTAGCTGCAACGCCTGCAGCGCTGTTTACTACGCACCCTCTTCGCAGACGTTGCACCATTATTATAGCTACCACCCTCTGCCTTAGCGATCTAATTAGCTATCTAGCTAACTGTCTAGGACCCCTCTGCCTGTACGTAGCGCCTCTTACAAGTTTTTCGCTTCGTTACTTTAGTAATTGTAGCTTTAAGGCGATTAAGTTTCTTCTATATTAACACTATATTATAAGCTATCTGCTAAGCTCCCTTACTTAACTGCTGTATCTACTCCTTAAAAGAACTTGTAGGAGACCCTTGCTGGATTTGCATACAGTTTCGAATAAGCGTAGCCTGCGCCTCCATTTCGCGCGCGTTACGCGGCGTTTTCGGCTCCCAAGCAGTAGTCTCTTGCGCTAGTGGAGTTGGCGTACGCAGCATGACGTTAAGCTGTGATAAAACAACGTTATAATCGTGCGGTGAAAGTCTAGCACCTTAGAACCCTCCGCGGATATTTTCTAGTGTAATAGCCTTATAATAGGCCTTTTTAAACGCTAGTAGGAAGGTTTCTTTGCTAATATAGTAGATGCAATTGCGTGCTAAGACCAAGATAGCATCACCATACGCGCGCTTTAACGGCGAGAAGCAGCCCACATCAAGAGGCTGTAAGAGGTGCGACGAGTGGGGAGGCATACAGAGGAGGATTATCTTCATCTCTTCGCAGAGATCTCGGAAATCCACCGAGCAGTGGCTCTCATGGCCGTCAATAATAAGCAGCCTATGCGTCCCCACAGGCCGCGCATGGGAATCAAAGTAACGAAGCCAGTCAAGCGCTAGATTGTTGTTCGTCTAGCTAGTAGGACTAACTTAGATCACCTAGTCGCGTGGCAGATCCTCTGTGAACTAGGTAGAGATTAGAACCTTGCTAGCGAAGATAAGAAACGCTAGGATACGCGTGCCTATTGCGCCAACGCCTTGTATTAGCGTAACCCACTCACGATTGCCTAGCTAGATCTTCTTTATTCTCCCTAGTTTGTCTGAGCCTGTGATAACTAACTATGATAAAATCTTGCCTATAATAAAGCTAGTCTTATTAAAGTTATAGATATCTTCGTCCACGATACTATTCTTTGCCTTTATATTCTAAACTAGCTTAAACTAGCCCTTAATAAGCGCTAGGTCTTCGCAGAGAGCTTGCTAGTGATCGTATGGACGGCTCTGACGCGTACGCAGCTCAGGATTGCGCTGGACAAACCTATTAACCTAGTTCTTGCCCACCTCCTTCCCGCCACGCTCTCAGAGCAGTCTGTTGGCCATATCTCGCACGTCGTCTTTCCCACAGGGTAGTCCTCGCTCAGCCTCGACTATTACACGCATAGTAATAGCCTTCTCTTCTAGTTTTGTTAGGCGCCTTGCTGGTGGCTCCCAATCGCTTCGAGGGCGCTGTCTAGCTCGTTGACGCTGGATTGTTGTTTGTGGGACGCTATAGGCGGTAGCAGCGCGTCGTTCACTCTAAATTTGTTTAGAATTAAGATTAGTAATAGCAAGAAATAGATCTGCTTTAGTATAAGTTTTTAATGCGTTGTGTTGTTGAGATATTACGCGTTGTTGTTGCAAAGGTGGGATATCATAGGGAAGTGGCCTACATACTGGGGTGGCCCGCTTACTAGTGAAACACGTTATACTAAAAGTATTTTTTAGTATTAATAAAGTTTTCTATATATTATACTATATAGTACGCTGTTTCTTAACTTATACTAGCGCCTTACTAAAAGAAGCGTATAGTCTAACTACAGTGCCCGTGCACCAGATGAGCACCATCGCCAGTTGAGCACCCCCACCACCACAACAACAAAACTTCAACGCGTCAAAACTCAACCAATATGGACCTGATTCAAGAAGCGATTGCAGAAATCGAATCGCGAGAACCAGGAGATAAATTCTCGTATCAAGCAATCGCGAAAAAGCATGGTGTAGCACGAATGACGTTGATGAGACG